CTGTTTGCGCCAGAGCCTTCGCTTTGGGTTAGATTTTTTTTTTTTTTTTTTTTTTTTGGTGTGTGTGGGAAGAATGCCATAATGGATTTGAATCCAGGATTCGAGTCCAGCACAGCCCTTCCCTGCTGTGTGACCTCGGGCAAGTGATCATCCTCTTTGAACCTCAGTTTCATTCTCTGCAAAATGGGGATAACAACTGCCTATTGTATAGGATTAGAGGAGAGTTTGATAAGATCACGTAAGTAAAGTGACAGAGGGCCTGACACAGTGTAAGTACTTTTTATATCCACTCCGTTATAAGTACTCAAAGTGGGACAGAGTACCTGGAGCTGATGGGGGGTGGGGCGGGCAGCTCTCAAGAGGTTGTGGGAGGACCTCACCCAGCTGAGGTAGGCAGGGAAGACTTCTTGGAGGAGGGGATGTCTGAACCAAGATCTAATGTATGAGTAGGAGATAATCAGGTGAAGAGAGGGGAGAAGAGAGAAAGGCATTTAAGGCAGAGGGAACAGCAAGTGCGAAGGCTTAAAAGTGGCTTTCTTTTCTTTTTTTAAATATTTATTTATTTATTTATTTATTGCTACACCGTGTGGCTTGCGGGATCTTAGTTCACCCCAAGCAGGGATTGAACCCGGTCAATGGCAGTGAAAGTGCCAAGTCCTAATCACTGGACCACCAAGGAGTTCCTAAAAGTGGTTTTCTTCCTTTGAAAAGATTACTTTGTGGAACATAGGAGAGGGGTTATGAGGGTGACATGACAGAACAGGCACACCCGTCCACACAGGAAGCTATAGACACAAAATCTCTCTTTGGCACGTGCACACGCGCACACACACACACTCAAGTACAGAGAATCATGTCACAGAGACAATACACAGAATTATACTGTCAAACAGTCCCATACGTGCATCCAGAATCACAACACTACACAGACAACACACAGGTACAAAAAAAAAAAAAACTGCAATGCCTCCTACACTCAGGAACACAGAAATCCAAAGTAATGAGAAACACACATAAGGCTGAATCATTTCACCCAGACAGTAACACATATAGGAGGAATTACAACCCTCCCCATACGCAGGTTCACAGAATTATGTCACAATGACCCACACAGAATGAAAACATCACCAGACACACAACATTACATAGACCTATATCACAAAGTGACATGGACACCCAGTCACCCGGTGCACCCACACCCCCTGAAGCGACCCCACAGATGAGTCAACACACAGAGTTCTGGTGCCTACCAAGGTGAGATCTTTATGGGGGTTTAGAGATCAGTGGGTTTCAGAGCCAGCATGGCTGGTCCAGTCCCTTCCCCTCCCCCAGCCCACACAGTTCCCTCCATAGAGGGCCTAGGACACCCGCTGAGAGAGGGAGGGGTCAGACCCTTCCCCTCATAGCACCAATCTGGACAGGTCATCCCTTGACAAAACAGTGAGAAGTGCCTTCCATAAAGAGGGTGAATTGGGTTGAGAGAGGGAGGCCTTTTCCTATGGGAGACCAAGAATAGCACCATCGTCGAAAGAAGGTTGGGGGAAGGGGACGGGGACACATAGGTGGTGGTGGAGTACTGAGGAGTCCTGGCCTCTCTCCCCACCCCATGATATGCAGATAGGGCTGTGCGTGTGCCTGTGCGGCTGGGGAAGTCACCTGGATTGTGAGGGAGCCCCAGGTTCCCCAGATACCTGGGGTTAAGTAATAGTAAGTACATATCTGAGGGCTGAGGTGGGGAGGGAGGGGGTTCTAGGACAGAGAACTTTTAGGGATATGAGACTGAGAATGGAGAGGCTTGAGCATGAAGTCCATTAGCTCAAGGACCTGGAGGGTAGGGATCTGGAATGGGAAGACGTAAGGCAGAGAGTAGTAATTAGAGCAAGTTGAGTTGGGCGGGCAGCCCAGAATAGAGTTAGGACGGTGGGGTCTGGAGTGAGGGAGTCAGAGGTCTTAAGATTCAGAACTAGAGGAATCTACAGGGCAAGGTCCAGATTCTAAAAATCAGAAGCCTTTGGAGGCTGAGTTCTAGAGCCAGAAGAATTTGGATCTTAAATCAGAGGCACTTGGACGCTGTGAGGTCTAGAACCAGAGATACAGAGTAAGGACTAGAATTTGAAAAAGTCTGAAGACCAAGTTCTAGGACCAGAGGGATTTGGGAGTTGTAAGGTCTAGAATCAGGAATTTAAAGCTGTAGGGCTTCCCTGGTGGCGCAGTGGTTGAGAGTCTGCCTGCCGATGCAGGGAACACGGGTTCGTGCCCCGGTCCGGGAAAATCCCACATGCCACAGAGCGGCTGGGCCCGTGAGCCATGGCCGCTGAGCCTGCGCGTCCGGAGCCTGTGCTCTGCAACGGGAGAGGGCGCAGCAGTGAGAGGCCCGCATACCGCAAAAAAAAAAAAAAAAAAAAGCTGTAAGGTCTAGAACCAGAAAAATTTATAAGGCAAGGTCTGTAATCAGAAGATGTTTGAAGGCTGAGTTCTAGATACGTGGTAGTTTGGAGTCATAAGATGTGGAATGAGGGGCAATTGGAGATTGTGAGGTCTAGAACCAAGGAAATTTATAGGACGAGGTCTGGAATCAGAAGACATTTGAAGCCCATTACCAGAACCAGAAGAAAGGGATATCATCAGATCTGGAATCAGAGGGCCCTGGAAACTGAAAAGTGTAAAGGTTGTATAGTCCAGGACCAGTCAGTGGTAGCGATGATGAAGTCGAGAGCAAAAGAGAACTGGAACATTGTGTCTGGTTCTGAAAGGTCCAGACATGAAACCCATAAGGTCAAGACATGAAACCCCTTTTACTTCTTTTTGATGGGAGAAGCAAGTCTCGAGTGTAGAGTTGAAAAGGGATGAGCTGGCATCATGAATCAAAATGACTGAGACATCACGAAGTCTAGATTTGGAATGAAATGCATTACAGATCAGGAAGACTAGAACCAATTCCAAGCTTGGGGATGTGGGGGTTCCAAAATCAGAAGAAATCTGGTTGTAAGAGCTGGAATCAGCAGGAGTGGGAGCATGCACCATTGAGAACAAGGGAGACCTGTGGGGAGAGCTCTAGAACCAGAGGAAGGCGGAGAGTGAGCTCTAGAACCAGAGGGTTCTGGTGGTCCTAGGCCTGAGGGAGTTGGAGGTTGTGAGGCCTAGAACCAGACAACTTTGGAGAGCATGAAGTAGAAAGATAGACAGAGTTGGAGATTGTGAGGTCCAGAAGGAGAAAAAGCTGAAGACGGTGAGATCCGGAATCACAGCGGTTTGGAGGATGCAAGGTCTAAACCAGACCACGTTGGGGGTCGTGAAGCCTAGAACCAGAGAAGGCCGGGAGTGGCACAGTCTAGAACCAGAGAAGGTCGAAAGCTGTGTGGTCTAGAACCAGAAAGGGTTGGAGGTGGTATGGTCTGGAAGCAGAGGTCAGAAGCTACACCTGGGATAGGAAGACCACCTATGGAGTCAGGGTCCAGGTCAGGCAGGAGCCAGCAGAAGTCCAGAGCGGAGGAGTGGGCAGAGCTGGGTGGCCGCTTGGGAGGCTAAGGTCTCAATCAGGAGTCGCCGGGGGTGAGGTCTGGCCCAGAGGCCTCCCGTCCCCATTGACACCTGAGTTGGTGGGAAGATCAGAGTCCCACATTCTTGTGGATCCCAGGCAGTTCGTAGCAATGAAAAACATATCATGAAAGCAACAAAAATAAAAATAAGAATGAAAGATGGATGGAAAGCAAGGTGCTTCTGGTTATCAATACTCCCCCAAGCCCAGAAATGCAGACCTGAGCCCCAAACTCCCCCACCCCTAATTACCGAAAATAAAGCCAAGAGAATTGGGGAAAAGGATGAGGTAACCGGTACTGAGAACCCCAAGGGAAGTCCTGAGAGAAGCAGGAGGGGGCCAGGGACCCCCTCCCAGAGGTCACTGAGCTGAGACCACCCCGGAGCACCCCCAGACAGTGGGGGTGGGGCAGAGGGGTGGGGACTGAGGTAGGCCTGAGGCGGGCGGGGGTCACCGAGAGGAGAGAGGGAGCCCCTCTCCCGGCACCTCCATCCTGTGCATTGGCTGCCGGCTTGGAGTATGATTGACGTCCTTTCTTGTGGGGGGAGAAGGGAGGTGGGAAGAGGACCTGGCTCAGTTGGCCTGGGCCAAGCCTGCCGCTGGCTGAAAGTGGCTCCTGGGCTGGGCGGTGTCCTCGTCCGGGTAGAGAGAGAGCAGGGAGGGGCCCAGGCCTGTGGGGGAAGATGGAAGGTAAACCAGTGGGGAGTTATCACCCCAACCCGTCTTCAGACAGTTAAGAGCATGGCTGGTGAGGCAGGCATGCCCGGATTCAAATAGGAGTGAAATCTTGGGCAAGTGCTGTTCTCTGAATTTCAGGTGTCCTGATGTTAAGAAGCCTGGAGCCAGGTGCCACCTGAGTTTGAATCCAGGCTCTGCTATTTACTTGCTGTATGAACTGGGACAGGTGACTTTACCTCTCTGTGCCTCAGTTACGTCATCTGTAAAATGGGCTAACAACAATACCTCCCCTGCCTCCCACAGGGCTGTCAGTGAGGAGTAAATGAGTGAATCCATGTAAAGCGCTTTGAACAGCGCCCAGTGAGCTGTGGTCATCTGAGAAACAGGGATACTTAGACCTACTTCATTCATGAGAATTCACTCATTCAAAAAATATTTGTTGAGCACCTACTGTGTACCAGGCACTGGGGACACAATAGTGAACTGGATAAATGAAACTTCCTGCCCTCGTGGGGCTGACATTCCAGTGAGGGACGTCAATTGGATCATGTACGTAACATTGAACACAAAGCTTGGCACAGAATGAGCTCTAGATAAACGTTAGCTATTCAATTACAAATGTGTACTGAGGCCCTGCTCTGTGCCCAGCCTTGCACACATGGTGAAGCACAATGACCAAGACAGGCCAGGCCCCTGCCCTGTGAGGAGCAGACAGACAGTAATCAAATAATGTTACAAACTCCTATGTGAATGTGGACTGTGATGAGTGTTTCAAACCATAGCTTGGGAAATGAGGGAAGGCTCTGTGGAAGGAGTCGTATTTGATCTGAGATCTAAAGGATGTGGTAATTAGACAAAGAATGGAGGGAAAAGCATTCCAGGCAGAGGGATCAGCATATGCAAAGGCCCTGAGGCAGCCTTCTCAAGCAAGATGACTTCAAAGTCCTCACAATGCCCCACAGTGGCCCTGTGGAATCTGCTTCTCTCCTCTCTTCTCTGTGCTTTAGCCACACTTATGGCTGATTTTTCCCCATGGAAGACAGATACACTCCCACCTCAGGACCTTTGCATTCGCTGTTCCCTCTGCCTGAGATGCTCTTCCCCCAGAAATTGTCACAACTCACTCCCTCACCTCCTTAAGGTCTTTGTTCAAATGGCACCTTCTCAATGAGACCACCCCTAATCATACTGTTTAAAATGGAAATCCCCCCACCGCAGAACTCCTTTTTCCTCTGCACACATTATTTTCCCAAGTAGCACTATTTTTCATCATGTGTACTCTTTATTGCATTTGTTTCTTTGTTCTGGACTGTCTCCCTCACTACCATGTCAGCTCTATGAGGGCAGGGGTTTCCGTGTGTTTTGTTCCCAGTTTTGTCTTCAGCTCTTAGGACAGTGCCTGGCACTTACTGTGTGTTTAGTGAATATTTGTTACACACATGAAGGAAAGAATGAATTAAAGGATAGTGACTGTGGCTGAAAGGGAGGATGTGAAGCAGAGTGCAGTCTGAGACGAGGCAACAGTCAGACTCCGCAGAGACTGGAGTCCAAGATGAAGGGCTTGATCTTTCTCTGAAGGGCGCTAGGGAGGCATAGAAGAGCTTTGAGCAGAGGAGTGCCAGGGTCAGAGTCGTGCTTTGGATAAAGCTCCCTCATGGCCAGTGCCTGCAGGTTTCAGGTAGAGCTATGGCTATTCATAGTTGTGCTGGAAGATGATGAGAGCAACACAGACAAAGCAGCTTGTCTCATACTCTGCAGGGTTGCGAGGGTGGGGTGGTCTGGGACCAGCATCACCTTAAGGGTGACATTTCTTGAGCATTTATTGTGAAACAGGTCTCATGCTAAGCTCTTCCTGGGCAGCATATCCACAAGTCCTCAAAACATCTCCTTAAAGTATGAACTCTTATATTGGGTGGGCCAAAAAGTTCGTTGGGGTTTTTCCTTATGGAAAATAGGCCCCCACTGACAAGAAGGGGGAAACCGAGACTCCAGAGGCAGAAACTGTCTCCCAAAGCCACACAGCTGGGAATGACCAAGGGACGATTGGACACAGGCTTCGGGAGACCTAGCTCAGGCCCGGGCTCAGCTTCCACCTCGAGGGACAGCTTTGGCCAGCCCCTGCCTCCCTCAGGGCCTCTCTTTCCTCCCACAGTGTCCCTGAGAAGAGGGAGGGGCTGCCTGTTTCCACTAAGGGCATGTCCAGGCACAGATAGCCCCCCACCAGCCTCAGAATCATCCCACCCTCTCTCAGCCATCTAAGGCACCTCCCACAGGAGATGGGGACCCAGAGCGTCTCTGTCTACCCAGGTTGCTACTCACCCAGGGGCTCATTCAGTTCTAGGAGGTGGGTGCTGGGATCCTGCTGGCTCCCTGGGGCTGGTCCTCCTGTCAGAAGGAAACTCTAGGGGACACAGACAAAGCCGCCATCATCATCATAATCATCACCATCATCATCACCATCATCATCATCATCATCATCATCATCATCATCATCATCATCATCATATCTAAGGAGGCAGGATGGGGCAGTGGTTACGGGCACTGTGGTGTTCAGTGGTTGCTTATTGGCTGTGTGAATTAGGGTGAGTCACTGTCCCAGATGTCCTCTGTGGGTCCCTCCAGAGCCTTGTTCTCCTCTTCTTCAGTGCCCCAGCAGGTTGACCTGTGCGTGTGGACTCCATCAACGTGCAACCTTGCTTGGTGTGTTCCTTTGAGGTTCACATGATGGGAGATACCAGCAGGTGGGAGGAGGAAGACAAGGGGTATTTGATCTTCTAGCTGCTTCCCTGCTGGGTCATCGTGGCTTGGCTGTGTGCCTCCATGGAAGGTTTCAGCTCTTACAAGGTGGACCCTACTGTCTCCAGGATCCAGTGACCACCCCTGTGCCCTGTGCTTTCAGGCTAGGGATGGTGTTGCTATAGCCCCAGGGTGATGTCTACACCTTTGGCAACAGTTCTGTTACTAAATTCTCCTCAACACCCCGTTTGAACATGTTCTCTGTTTCCTGTCCAGTCTCTGACTGATACAGTTGCTTAACCTCTTGTGTGTAAATGTGAATAATAATAATATTTCAAGAGTGGCTGTAGGGACTGAATAATCATGCAAGGCACTTTGTGCAGTCAGCGTCTGGCACATGGTAGGCACTTAATAAATAAGAGCTGTTGATATTATCAACCATACTCTCATGTTCATACAGCCCTGTTCAGGGCTTCCCTGGTGGCGCAGTGGTTGAGAGTCCGCCTGCCGATGCAGGGGACACGGGTTTGTGCCCGGTTCGGGAGGATCCCACATGCCGCGGAGCGGCTGGGCCCGTGAGCCATGGCCGCTGAGCCTGCGCGTCCGGAGCCTGTGCTCCGCAATGGGAGAAGCCACAACAGTGAGAGGCCCGCGTACCGCAAAAAAAAAACCCCAAAACAAAAAAAAACAGCCCTGTTCAGAGTGAGGAGACCGAGGTGCTGCTCTTGTTTGGTTGGTTTTTATACGCCCATTTATCAATAGCCCACTAAGGAGCAGCTAAGGGCCTGATTTCATTATGTCTCATGCCAGTCCTATGAAATGTAACTATCTGCTAGTTCCCAGATGAGGAGACTGAGGCTGAGGGTGGTGACGTCACGCACCCAAGGTCTCACAGTTACTGAGTGAAGGACCTGGGACTCGAACCCAAGTCAGTCTGACTCTAGTGTCTGTACTCTTAAAGCTACACTAATAATCCAAGGCCAAGACCTGTGCTAGGTTTGGGAGGGAGTGTTCCATGGGAGTAGAGAAGATTCCTAGAGATATTCACCCTTGTCATTTCTCCCCTTACCCTGCTTATTTTTTCTTCTTAGTACCTACCACCAACTTACGTCTATTTGCAAAGCCCTTCCATACCTGTTGCCTGAACCAGCAGATCAAGGTCCTAGCCCTAGCTGGATGGCTGACTGTCCATTTGACCTTCAGCCAGGCCATGCCTCTCTTGTTTTTCCATCTATAAAAACTAGGTTTAAGCCTGCTGGGTTCTGAGGGCCAGAGAATCCCATGAATCCCCACACATACCAGGTTGAGGGGAGGCAGCAGGAAGTTTTCGGGTTCTGGGCTGGGGGACCGTTTGGGGGGTCTCACTCCCAGCAGCTCCACCCCCTCTGCCTCGTCCTCTGAGCTCTGGGCCAGGGCCCTGGAGGAAGACAGGCAAGAATCTCAGAACCCAGCGAACCTGGGCAGGTGTGGGCACCAGTGTGAGCAGGTGATGAGCGTTCTTTCACTCCCCCAAGCACCTATTTATTCCTTTACTCATACACCCACCAATCCATCCATTCATCCATCTGCCAATCCATCTTCCCATTCATCTATCCAGTGATCCATCACCCACCCACCCACCCACCTATACAACTACCATCCGTCTATCCTTCCATTCGTCCGCCTATCTATCCATCCACTCAGCCACCCACTCATCCATCCATCCATCCAACTACTATATTCACTAATTTCCTCCCTCTCTCACTTCACAAATCTTTATTAGGCACCCACTGTATATCCAGCTCTAAACTGAAAGCCTTGGAAAATAATGAGATGTATCGATGAAAGCCTTATAAGGATAGTAACGAGACCACCCTGGAGACTAAATGGGCACATGCCTACAATTTGGAGAGCAAAAACTTGAGTATTAGTAGTGTAACATCTTTGGAAGGGGGACATGGATCCTCTGAAATTATACACGAAATCATGTGTCTATACGTGCGTGTAAATCTTCTTGGGAAGGGTCCATGGCTTTCAACAGATATCCAAAGGTGTTAGGGAACTTAGTTCTAGACAGTTTCTCTGACACCGTGGCAATGTCCTCTTAACTATGACAAAAATTGTTACTAGGCCAGATAGAAACATATTCTAAAGGAGAGGGCCGTGGTTGACTGGTGGGATTTGGATAAACAATGAGAACAGTGGAGGGCACTCCAGAAGGAAGGTATAGCCTAGGCAAAGACATAAAGTTTGAAACAAACATGACATGTGCTGGGGACACTGAGGGCCTGGCTGGAGCAGAGGTCAGGGTAGGAGGAATAATGAGGGATGAGGCTGAAGTAGGAGGCAGGAGAAAGATGGGGTCAGGGACCTTCTCTACACTTCTTTTCTTTTTTTTTTTTTTTGCCACGCCACAGCTTACAGGATCTTAGTTCCCCGACCAGGGATTGAACCCATACCCTCAGCAGTCAAAGCGCAGAGTCCTAACCACTGGACCGCCAGGGAATTCCCTCTACACTTCTTTATATCCCACCTCTACTGTGGCTCACCTCTTCCGAGCCCCAGCCATGGGGGAGGATGCTGAGGGGTCCCCTCTGGAGGGGCTGGAACAGCTCAGCCGGGGGTCACTCCCCCAGCGGGGCAGCAGGGAGGGCTCAGGGGTTGGGGGCGACATGCCGTGGAAGCTCCGTGCACGGGGCCGGGGAACAACCCCTGGAGGTCTGTGGTAGGCCCTGGGTAGCTGCTCACTGGAGTTGAGCTGGAAGTCATCATCCATGGAGATGTAGGGGGCCAGCATCTCCAAGTCCAGAGCATCGACGTCCTGCGGAGGGCAGGAGGGAGTTAAGAGCGTGAGCCTTGGCCTTGGGTGGATCCGGGCTAGAGTCCCAGCTCCACCACTTCTGAGTTGTGTGCCTGAGGTCAAGAGTCTGAGCCTCAGTTTCCTCATCTGCAAAATGGGTAGAAGGACTCTGTGGTAGCCAGTTGCCAAGATGGCCCCCAAGGATCCTCACCTCTTGGTATTCACACCCTAGGTTAGTCCCCTACTATGGTGACTAGGGCTGACCTGGTAACAATAGGATATTGAGGAGATGATGGTGTGTGACTTTCAACATTAGGTTGTAACGATACTGTGGCTTCCGTTGTTGCTGTGCTCTCTCTCAGGTCACTGGCTCTTGAGGGGAGCCCTCTGGAGAGGCCCACATGGCAAGAAACAGACCTCTTGCCAACAGCCAAGAGAGGGATCTCGGAAGTGGATATTCTAGTCCCAGTCAAGCCTTCAGATGACTGCAACCCGGCGTGACATCTTGATTGCAACCTCATGAGAGACGCTGAGCAAAAGCCGCCCAGCTAAGTGACTCCCAAACCCCTGACCCTCGGAAAGTATATGAAGTAATACACGCTTGTATTAACCTTCGAAGTTTTACAGTAATTTGTTATCCAGAAATAGATAGCAAATAAGATTTTGATAAGGAGTGTGGGATGTGGCTGTAACAAAAACCCAAAATGGGAGAGGGGCTTTTGCACTGGGCAGTGAGCAAGGGCTGAAGGGCTTTGAAGGGCCCATTAGAGGAGGCCTAGATTGCCTTGAACAAGGCATTAGTCAAAATTTGAACCATGAAGAGCCTGCCACTGAGGGCTTGAAGGCAAGTGAGGACCACGTTATCCGAAGCTGGAGGAAAGATTTTTGCTGGGAAGTATCTGAAAGTTTAGCAACACTGTCACCTGCAGTTTTGTGGAAAGTAGAAAATGTAACTCGTAAGCTGGGTGATCCAGCTAAGGAGATTTCCAGCCAAAGTGTTGAAGGGGCTGTCTGATTTCTTCTTGCTTACTTGGAGTAAAAGGCAAAGGGAGAGAAAAGATAAAGGAAGAAATGTTAAACAGGAAAGGAGCTGGGGCTTGAAGGGCTTGAAAATTCTCAACCTCCCTGTGTAGTGAAGAATTTTACCCAAAAAGAGGTTCGGCCTTTGTCCTGGCTCCTGGGAGGTGACATCTAAACCCTTGGAATTTCCCAAGTGATAGGTGTGTCTTGGCTACTCGTGATGGACCCCTTGGACCACACCTGATAGTTTATTCTGACAAGACAACTGAGGATGGGGACTCTCCATGCCAGAAAAGCCAACCATGGGATTTGAGGGCTGGGGCTTTGGGCCACATGAAATCAGCCTGACCTCCAAGGAAAATGTGTGTGTGTGCTGGGGAAGGTGGAGATGGAGATGGAACTCAACTACATTGGCAATAACTCAATTGATCATGCCTACACAATGAAACCTCAATAAAAACTCTGGAGACCAAAGCTGGGGTGAGCTTCTGGGACTGGAAGTATTCCATATGCATGTTTCCACACATCAATGACAGGAGGGTAATACCATCCCTGGGGACATGAGAGCTTTGAACTTGGGACTTTCCCAGTTCCAGATTCTACCCTATGAATTTCTTCCTTTGACTATTATATTCTTTTGCTATAATAAGACTGTAATCATAAATACAGTGCTTTCCTTAGTTTTATGACTAGTTCTAGTAAATTATAAAACCTGAGGGAGCCATGAGAGTCTCTGAGTTTGTAGGCAGCTTTTCTGAAATGAGGGTAGCCCTGGGGACCCCCAAACCTGTGGCTGACGTCAGAAGTCTTCGGCAGACTTGACAGTCTGGAGGATTGTGCCCCTCATCTTGGGTTTGGCTGACTCTGGGAACTCCCCAGATGGCAAGTGATGCTAAAATTAAGAAATGGTTTCTGAGCAAAGAAGGGCACTCTCAGGAAAGCATGGTCTAAAGATTAAGCCCAGGGTTTGTTTATAAAATTCCTTGTTAAGACCTCAGAAAGACAAAAGGTGGTGCCTAGAATATCCTCATTCAGACAAAAGGTACTCTAGGGTTTAAGGATGTGCCTCATAGGTCTTCTCAGTCAAACAATAGCGTTTCTATTAAACCTCAGGGCACTGTCACTCAACCATCTCAACAGAAGCCCAAGGTAGAGAAGGGTTTATCTCAGAGATTTGTGGGTATGGCTTTTGTCTAATGGAGTGAACTCCAAAGAGATTCATTTAAGACATACAAAGTTTTTTTTTGTTGTTTTTTTTAAGAGAATTATATGAACAGAAGTATTGCCAGCTTGGCCTGAAAGGGACAGAGATGGTACAAAATGAAAAGAGACCTTTGGGCCATCAAAGTTCTAAAAGCAGGAAGCAGGTTACAAAAACCACTCAGCTGCAAATACATGTTACCTTTTTATGAAAAAGGAAGGATGACTCAGAGTGAATTGCCAAGAGCCCAGAGGGTGTAGCCAAGAACCATGGAGAAAAACTCCTGGGATGTTTTTGAGTCAAAATGGATTCTGACCAAGGAATTTTGATATTTGCCCAACTGGATTTCAAAACTGCTGTGGACCAGTGATACCTGTATGCTCTCCTTCCCCCTTTTTTTTGAATAGGAGTGTTTTTGGCAGTTATTCTATGCCTGTCCCATCACTGGATGTTGGGTACGTGGGTGGCAGACAACTTGTCTCTTTAGTTCACAGACCAACAGATTGAGGGGAACTGTATTTGAGGTGCTTTGCCACACCCAGACCTGACTGAGGTGACGAGGTTCTGGACTTAAAGTTGATGCTGTAGTGGAAAGAGACTTTGGGGGACTTGGGAGGGGGTGAGTGAGTTTTGTGTGAAGGAGAGACATAAATCCCAATGACCCTTGCCTTTTGGTGTTCCCACTTGTTTGTGGCTGCCTTCCACATTGTACCAGGGTTGGTCTGTATGACCAATACAATACAGCAGGAGTGATGGTATATGTCACTTCTGAGCTTAGGTTATAAAAGACTGCATCTTCTGTCTTAAGTTCACTCTCTGTCTCTTGGATTACTTGCCTTGGGTGAAGCCAGCTGCCATGTTGTGAGGATGCTTAGGGAGCCTCTATGCAGGCCCACATGGTGAGGAACTGAGGCCTCCAGCCAAAGCCAGTGAGGGACTGAGGCCTGCCAACAACCATGTGTGTGAGTTTGGAATTGAATCCTCTAGCCCCAGATGACTATGGCCCTGACTGAGAGCTTGCCTTCAACCTCATGACAGACTCAGAATAAACCATCCAGCTAAGCTGCTCCCAGATTCCTGATTCTCAGAAATTGTGTGACATAATCAATGTTTGGGTTTCTTTTTTTAAGTTTTTTTTTTTTTGATGTGGACCATTTTTAAAGTCTTTATTGAATATGTAGCAATATTGCATATGTTTTCTGTTTTGGTTTTTTGGCCCCAAGGCATGTGGGATCTTAGCTCCCCGACCAGGGATTGAACCTGCACCCCCTGCATTGGAAGGCGAAGTCTCAACCACTGGACTGCCAGGGAAGTCCCATAAATGTTTGGTTGAAGGTACTGAGTTTTGGGGTAATTTGTTACACAGTGATATATAGCTAATACATCCATGCCACTGTCATTTATCTCTCCAGACCATCAATCATCCAAACATTATCCATCTATCATCCATCCAATGGTCTATCTATCCAGCTACCCATCCAAACATACATCATCCATCCATCCGTCCATCCATCCATCCATCTCTCTACCATCATCCACCTAGAGATTTCAATGACCCATCTATCCATCCATCCACTCATCCCATTAACCATTCCACCATCCTTCTCTAAAACTTAGATATGTCACCCAGAACCCAGAGGTAAAGACTGTTCCTTCCATGCCAGCCCTTACCTGAGCTATATCTAGATCTGTCTCCACTGCCTCAAGGTCTTTCCCAGAGGCAAAGAGTTTGTGTGCATTCTCCACATCCACAAGTAGTTCATCTGGGAGATCAGCCTGTGGGGAGAGAGAATAAGAGACTTAAGGAAATCTTGAGCCTGGGAGATGCTAAGCAGTAAGGCAGTCTAAACATTTGACCTCAGGGGTAGAATTGAGGGTCAAATGTCAGCCAGCTGGGACACCAAAGGGGTCAAATAGCAAATGTGAGTTTCTGCACCTGGGTGTTCAAAAGGCTGAGTGCCTGGGTATAAATTTTTTTAATTTATTTATTTAATTGTATTTATTTTTGGCTATGTTGGGTCTTCATTACTGCATGCAGGCTTTCTCTAGTTGCGGCGAGCCGGGGCTACACTTCATTGCGGTGCACGGGCTTCTTATTGTGGTGGCTTCTCTTGTTGTGGAGCACGGGCTCTAGGCGCATGGGCTTCAGTAGTTGCGGCACGCGGGCTCAGTAGTTCTGGTGCACGGGCTCTAGAGCACAGGCTCAGTAGTTGTGGCGCAGAGGCTTAGCTGCTCTGTGGCATGTGGGAGCTTCCTGGACCAGGGCTCGCACCAGTGTCCCCTGCATTGGCAGGTGGATTCTTAACCACTGCGCCACCAGGGACGTCCCTCTGGGTGTAGACTGACAGAGCAAACATCAAAGGTTCGAAAGACCAAAGCCTGAGGCCAACATATTCTGGCCCTCTGGGGTTAAATGTCTTGGAGTCTGGAGGAAAACAATGCCCAGTCCAGCTTCCCAAGGATAAAGGGTGAGGTCAAAGGTCACAGTCTATTTCTCTGGTGGAGAGAAGATATTTGGGGGCGGGGGGGCGGTCACAAAGGTGGGAATAAGGAAAGTCAAGACCAGATAATATGGACACCTGAGTGAAAGGTCAGACTATCTGGACTCTTAAGTGAAAACAGTAACCGTTATGGTCTCTTGAAGCCTTTCTAAGTGCTTCTCATGAATGATTTCGTTGAACCCTCACAATAACCAATGAGGTGGCTACTTGCTATTATCTGAATTTTACAGGTGAAGAAACCGAGGCCCCACTTGTCCAGGGTAACACAGCTGTAAATGGCAGAGTCAGGATTTGAATCCAGGCTTGTGCAGTTTAAGACATTAGACATTCTGGACTCTGAACTCAAACCTCAGAAAACCTGGATGCTTGGTCACAAGCAATGAGGGGGTCACCCACGCCAGTCCCAAACATCCTAGGTTTTGGTCCAAATAACAGTTGAAGAATCTGGAATCTAGGTCTTGAAGGAACCCCCGACTCCATCTCATCCTAGCCTTTCCACTACATAGATGGAGAAACTGAGGCCCAGAGAATAGCAAGGTTCAAGCCAAAGGCCAAAACAGCCTAGATCCTGAGGGGGTAAGTGGAGGGGACTGCTTACCGGAAGAGGACTTCGGGGGCGTCGTGGGGCTGTGGGTGCGCTGGGGGTAGCGGCTACTGAAGTCCCATCCAGGATCGGTGCCAGGAGGCGACGGAGGTCAGGGCTACAGAAACGACGGGGGTCAGCGGCCAGGGCGGCCTCACTCAGGGCAGGGGGGTGCAGGAAGGCTAGGATCCGGGGACCAGAGGTGTCTGCAGGACACATCAAGATGGGGAGGACACAGGAGGGTCACCCAGGGCTGAGGGGCAGAGCCCTCTGCCAACCCCCCGGGAGCATAGCTGACTAGGTAATCAGCATAGACCCCGTTCACAGTGCTGCTGAGTCCTGGAGAACTCCTGCTGTCCCTTCAGTTGCCCTGGAGGGGCTAACATGGGGCGAGGGCACACAGTAGGCTGGGGACTGTAGCAACTGCCCAATGGTGGGGAAATGTTTTAATATTTAAAATTGACATGGCTGGACCATGGCACATGACTGACCCGGTTCTCCGGTGGCACAGAATAACATTCAGCCTGGGGGGCTGTCATGTTAGGAGAAAAGACTGGCCCATGATCCTCAAGGAGATTCTAAGGTCCCTGGAGGTCAAGATGTGGCCCTGAGCCAGTTCTAAGCCAGAAAAGGAAAGGAGATGGGGGACCTCATTACCACACCCAGGAGCATGGGTTGCCAGCAACAGTTCAGAGATCGTGAGGCCCTGAAGAACAAACAGGGAGGGAAGCTCATCCATCCAGGATTGGAGGGGGTGGGGTGTTAAGCAGAGGAGAAGGAAGAGGTAGAAAGGAGCCAGACGTGGAAGGGTCAAGATTACCGGAAGCCAAAGAACAGTGACGTGGAAGCACGGAACAAATGGAAAGTGGGGGCGATTGGAAGCCACAGCAGGATTCAGAGCAGAGAGCAACAAGACTGAAGCAATCATCCTGGGGACAGAGAAGAGGGAGGAGCGAAGAGAGAAGGGCATTCTGGGCGAAGGAAACTACATGTGCAAAGGCCCTGAGGCATGAAAGAGTTTGGTTTGTTCCCAGAGCACTAAGGAGGCTGGTGTGGCTCAGAGAGTAAGAAGGGGAGGGAAGCAGGTCACACAGGGCCAAGCGAGTGGCATTAAGGCACTTGGGCTTTCTTCCGAGCATCCTGGGGACACAACCACTCCCAGCCCCAGCCCTGCCCCATACCAAGGCTGTCACCAGGATTAGGGGCATCCTTCTGAGAGGCGGTGCCCCGCTGAACGTGTCTTCGAGAGTGTCGCTCCGTTTGCTCCAGGGACAGCACCACTTCGGTCTCTTCCACCCGGCTGGGGTACAGGGCAGAAAGGGGAGTGGGAGTCAGGGAGGGTGCTTGGCAGCCTCGACATATGATGTCCTGTTAGAGGAGGGCAGTCTCATCCGGGGGCTGGTGGGCATTGTGCAGAAAATAATTTGCCACATTGACTTGTTTTAAAGATTTAAATTTTGTTGAATGCTTTTTATTATAATAGCATTGAAAAGAAAGTGAAGTGTGTCTTCCCAAGCTTCCTCTGTGGAAGGAAAGGCAGAAAAAAAGAGTTGGCACAGCCTGGGTAGAGAGAGAGAGAGGAGAGACTGAGGGGCCATGAGGGGCAGAGAGCAGGGAGAGTGAAAGGCATGAGAACTAAATATTCTCTTTATAGATATTTACTTATAAATACATTCTTATAAATGTATTGATGAGGAATATGCACTTACTATATTCTTATGTTGCCAAATAGGAAGAATTTATGGGGATATTTTTATGAATAAGAGATTTTATTTATGAAGCTTCTATTCATAGGCATTTGTCACATTCAAGGGAACGAATTTATAAATACATCCTTATGTCCCTCGTGCCTTCCTGCCACCCCCTCCCTCCCCAGTCTGTAGCTGCAGAAGCCGCTCAAATGTTCTCTTTGCAAATTGGCTTCTGGAGAATGGGTCTGGGGTGGAGGACCAGACCTTCATTTGCATCTCATTTGCAGAACACTATCCAGGTCAGAATGTGGGTGGTCCTTCTACCAGCTCTTTGAGAAGCTGTGACCCTTCCCCATCCTCACCTACCCCTTCTGAGCTGGAAACATCCCAATTTAGGCTGGATCCAAAGCCACCCCACCCCTCTTGAAAAACATAAGGTCGCACAGTCACACGTGTATGCACCCTCAGCACTTACAGGCACAAACAGGAACCCCCATATACACCCAAGTGTATACATCAGATATGCACACATGCTCTATACACTTGGGCTCGCGTATATGCATACATGCCACATGAAATGCACGCGTTCATTCATTCCACAGACATTTCCTACACAACCAGTAATACTTAGTGGTTAAGAGCAAGGGCTCTGCAGCCAGCAGCCTGGGTTCAAATTCCAGCTCTGCCACTTATGAGCTGTGTGACCTTGAGCATATGGCTGAACCTCTCTGGGCCTCATTTTCCTCTTCTGTAAAGAGGGAGTAATAATAGTACCTCCTCCCCAGGTTGTCGTGAGGCCTAAATGAGTTAGTGTATGTCAAATGCATAGAACCGTGCCTGGCACGGGGTGAGCTCTATGTAAGTATTTGCCATCACTGTTTATTGAGCAACTACTGTGTGCCAGACACTGTTCTAGGCACTGGAGATTCAGCGGCGCACAAGACAGACAAAACTCCCTGCTCTCATGGGGCTTAAATGCTAGGGGGAAAAGACAGACCTTCAATAAAAGATATTAGTTGTTGGTAAATATATCTATCTAGTTACAAAATATATATTTCCACTAACGAAGCACTTGAAACATGGCTGGTTGGAATTGAGGTGTACTGTCAGTATAAAATACACCCCAGGTTGAAAAAATTGAGTATGAAAAAGAATCTAAAATATCTCATTAATAATTTTTAATATTGATTACATGTTGAAAATACATTTTTGGATGTATTAGAATACACGCACATATACCTGTATTACAATGTATAATACACTTAATAGTGTATTACTAATTACATTAATTAATAATGTATTACTGATTTAACAATATTATTGATGTGATATATTATTGTATTTAATAAAGTATTATTGAAACTAATTTCACCTGTTTCTTTTTACTTTTTTTCGGGGGGCAGGTATAGTTGTTTTACAATGTTGTGTTAGTTTCTACTGCACAGCGAAGTGACGTAGAGTTCCCTGTGCTATACAGCAGGTTCTTATTAGTTATCTATTTTATACATATTAGTGTATAGATGTCAATCCCAATCTCCCAATTCATCCCATCCCCCACCCCTCACCCCCCACTTTCCCCCTCTTTTTACTTTTTTAATGGCTATTAGAAAATTCAAAATAACATATGTGGCTCATGTCACACTTTTTTTTTTTTTTTTTTCCTACAGGGCTGGCTTGAGGGATTTTACTTTCCTGACCTGGGATCAAACCTGGGCCCTCAGCAGTGAAAGTGCAGAGTCCTAACCACTGGACCACCAGGGAATTCCCATGTCACACTTTTATAGGACAGTAAGTATTAGGGGAAAAAAAGGTTAAGAAGGAGATATGCAATTTTGAGAAGGGCAGTCAAGAAAGAAGGCCTGGTTCAATACACAGATAAATAATTACAAATGGTTCTAACTGCTCTGAAGCAAAAGGACAGGACCAGGAGGGAAAATGGGGAGATATGACCTCCTGTAGGGGTTCGGGAAAGGGTCTTGCAGTAATGTCTGAGCTGAAACCAGAAGGATGAGTGGGCGTCATTCAGGAGAAGGAGGAGGGAAGGGGGAGGAGCATCCTGGCAGAGGAAACCGCATGTGCAAAGGTCCTGAAGTTTGGAGTGATAAGGGGAGGCATGCAGGAGTCAGGTCACACGGGGGCCTTAGGAGCCATGTTAAGGTTTCTGGGCTTTCTCTTCTGGATACTGGAGAACCACAGAAGGGCTTTGAGCAGGGGAGAGACATGAACCAATTCGTATTTCAGAACCTGCCCCCTGACCTCAGCAGTTGTGTGATCAGTGGAATCCAAACCAGCTTTAGATCTCAGTTAGGAGGTTAATGCTATAAACAAGGTGTGAGATGGTGGTGGCCATGGAGACAGAGAGAAGGGAAGCAAATTCAAGATCTATCCCAGAGGTGGATAGAGTGGATGGGGATAGGAGGGAATGAGAAAAAGGATGCAGGAGAGACTCCTAGGTTTCTGGCTTGAGCAAATAAGAGATTGTGTGGTTTGGTGGTTATTAGTGTAGCCTCCTGACCAACCTTGGGTCAAAACCCAGCTCTGACATTTACTAGCTGTGTGACATCAGGCAAATGACTTCCCCTCTCTGGTCCTCAGTTTTCTCTCCTCAAAAATGGGGATCGAGGGCCTCCCTGGTGGCGCAGTGGTTGAGAGTCAGCCTGCCGATGCAGGGGATACGGGTTCGTGCCCCGGTACGGGAGGATCCCACATGCCGTGGAGTGGCTGGGCCCGTGAGCCATGGGCGCTGAGCTTGCGCGTCCGACAACGAGAAAGGCCATGACAGTGAGAGGCCCACATATCGCAACAAAAAAAAAAAAAAAAAAAAAAAAAAAAAAAAATGGGGATCGAAATAATTGCTATACCTCATGGGGTGGTTGTGAGCACAAAGCCCAGGGCCTGAAATGTTGTAAGTGCCCCGTGCAAGTGAGTTGTATTTTTATGGAGCAGGTGCTCACTGCAATGGAAGGAGGCTTAGGTGTGGAAGAGGAGGGATGGATTCTACAAAGTGTCAGCACCTGGGCATGCACAAAGAGCCACGCAGCTGCACGCCACACAGTATGTACACAGCACTAAGCATGATTCGTACCATATGCTTCTCATCTCACTGTTACTAAGTAAACACCTATTCTTTCTTCACCCATTTTCTGCCAGTAAAACTGAACTCGCCAGATTGAAATTCCAGGGCCTGGCCATCAAAAGGCAAATCTTCATAATGAATAAAAGGAGCTTGCCGGAAGATATGGGGGCAGGTCCCCTCTCCTTAGCTCTGACAGTGAGGAGACTTCTTCCCAAGGCTACAAGTTATTCAAAGATTCTGATTTGAAAGGGTGTTAAGGAGAGAACATTCCAAAGATGATCAGCCTTGTTTTCTTGTGTATGAAGACTTATATGAATATTCTTGTTACCAACCTCTGTTTTCTGATAGAATCTGTTCTTGATCAAAAAGACCCAGGGAAACTCCTATGGCTTTAGAAATGAATGCCATGTCCTGGAAGATAATCTTCAAAGAAAAGCTGTACATCTCAGTCTTAGGTGATCGTTTGCTGCCCTCGTCACAATGTTGTCATGGTAAAAAACTTCTAAGATGCATGATGGAAGCGGCAGGAAAGACTGATTCACCACTACACACCCATTAGAATGTCACCCAATGAAGACAAAACAAGACAAAAACAGAAAATACGAACGCTGGCAAAGATGTGGAGGAACTGGAACCCTCACACGTTGCTGATGGGAACGCAAGAGGGTACAGCCACTCTGGAAAGCAGTTTGGCAGTTTCTTAGGAAGCTAAACATACACTGACCATATGACCCATCCATTCCATTCTTAGGTGTTTGCCCAAGAGAAACGAAAACATATGATCTCAAAAAATCCTGGACAAGAATGTTTACAGTAGCTTTTTTCGTAATTGCCCAAAATAGGCAACAGTCCAAATATCCTCCAGCTGGTGAATGGATAAACCGTAGTCCATACATATTCATACCACAGAAGATCACCTAGCATCAAAAAGGAACGTATTGATACACACCTCAACACAGATAAATTTTTTTTTTTTTTTTTTTTTTTTTTTTTTTGCGGTACGCGGGCCTCTCACTGTTGTGGCCTCTCCCGTTGCGGAGCACAGGCTCCGGACGCGCAGGCTCAGCGGCCACGGCTCACGGGCCCAGCCGCTCCGCGGCATGTGGGATCTTCCCGGACCGGGGCACGAACCCGCATCCCCTGCATCGGCAGGCGGACTCTCAACCACTGCGCCACCAGGGAAGCCCAACACAGATAAATTTTAAATGTATTAGGCTAAGTCAAAGAAGCCAGGCTCAAAGGCTACATACTATAGAATTTCGTGTACATGACATTCTGGAAAAGGCAAAATTCTAGAGTCAGAGAACAGATCAGTGGTTGCCAGAGATGACTGGGGGGTGGAGTGGGGTTCACTATGAAAGAATTTTCTTGGGTGATGAAACTACACTATAGCTTTTTTTTTTTTGGCCACACTGCATGGCTTGTAGGATCTTAGGTCCCTGACCAGGGATTGAACCCAGGCCCCTGGCAGTGAGAGTGCGGAGTCCTAACCACTGGACCGCCAGGGAATTCCCTACTCTATAGCTTGATTATGGTCGGGGTTACACGATTCCATGCATTTGTCGAAACTCATAGAAGCGTATACCAAAAAGAATGAAACTTCTCTATGTAAATTACACATCAATTTTTAAAAAGCACAAAAAAGCCCCCAAGATTCAGCTAGATTTCTTATTTTAACTTGAATATAGAATCCTTTTAAATTACACGCTCACACACATTTGTGTCTACATGCAGATACTTGTGTGGTCAGTCTCACGTTCTACATACGTGTACCTGTGCACATTCCCTCTCACACACGTGTGCACCATACACATGCACACTTGTGCATATACACACACACGCACACACCTGTTCACACGTATGCAGACCAGAAGAGAACCACACACAGCCACCCCACCTCATTCCCGCTTACCTGATCAGGAAATGGACGCAGACGATACTCTCAGACTGGGGGCCCCGGCCCCCCGACACCACTGTGGCCTGGGTCTGGGTCCACAGGTAGCCACCACTCCGGGCCAGGAAGCGGTACTGCCCCGTTACTGCCTGGCCCTTGCTCAGCACTGGGGAGGGGCATGGGGAGGGGTTAGGGCAACTGGGGAGAGAAGGCCGTGGGAGCAGGGTGCTGGGTGTGAAGGGGCCAGGGAAGAGAAGTTTCCTGGGGACTTGGGGAAGCAGGCAGCTGGTGTTGGCTGGGGCCATGCAGCACTGGAAACGGAACCTGAACACGTACAGGTATGGATGCTCTGGCCGACTGCATCTGAGTCCAGCGCATGGATGTACTCATAGGCAGAACAGCCAATCAGGTCATCAGGGCTGTAGCCAGCAACCTCCGCAATCCTGAAGTGGGTGCAGTGGACCCCGGTCAGTTCAACTGGCGAAAGTGGAGGGTGGGTGAAAGGAAGGAGAGGGGGACACGGGGATGAAGCCAGCAAGACAGAGAGAGACGGGGTTGTAACAGAGAGAAAGGGAGAGTAAGAAATAGAAAACGGGGTGTGGCCGGTTGAATAATGGCCCCTGAAGATGTCTCCGTCCTAATTCCCGGAACCTGTGAATATGCTACCTTACACGGCAAAAGGGACTTTGCAGATGTGATGAAGTTAAGGATCTTGAGATGTGTAGATGATCCTGGATCATCTGGGTGGGCCCAGTGTAATCACAGGAGTCCTTATAGGAGGGGAGTAGGTGATCAGAGTGAGACTAGATGTGATGATGGAGGCAGAAGCTGAAGTGATGCTCTGTGAAGGTAGAGAGAGGGGCCACAAGCCAAGGAATGTAGGAGGTCTCCAGAAGCTTTCATGGCAAGGAAACAGATTCTTCCCTGGAGCCTCCAGAAGGAACATAGCCCTTGATTTCAGCCTCATAAGCCTCATTTCAGACTTCTCACCTCCAGAACACTGAGATAGAGAATTTGTATTGTTTTGAGCCACTACATTTGTGGTAACATGATACAGCAGCCACAGGAAACTAATAGGGGAGGAGAGAGAAGGTAAAAATTGGAAGAGTGATGAAAAGAAAAGACAAAAAAGGGGACTTCCCTGGTGGTCCAGTGGTTAAGAATCCGCCTTCCAATGCAGGGCACGCAGGTTCGATCCTTGGTCGGGGAACTAGGATCCCACATGCGCGGAACAACTAAGCCTGTGTGCCACAACTAAAGAGCCTGCATGCCGCAACTACAGAGCCCACGCACTCTGGAGCCCGCGTGCCACAACTAGAGAGAAGTCCACACACCACAATGAAAGATCCCGGGTACTGCAATTAAGACCCGAGGCAGCCCCAAAATAAATAAATAAATATTTTAAAAAAAAAAAGAAAGAAGGACAAAAGAGAACGTGAAAGAAATAGGAGAGGGGAAGAGAAAGAAAGAAAGTCACAAAAAGAAAGATAAAAAAGAATGAATAGAAATAAAAAGTAATCATGATGATAATGATTTAAAAAAATAGGCACTTCTAGAGTGCTTTGTACCAGGCAACTCACTGAATGCTCAGAACAACTGTTCAAAGTAGGCTCTGCTATCACTCCATAGGACGGATGAGGAAAGTGTGGCACAGAGAGGTGAAGTCATTTGGCCAAGGGTGCACAGCCAGCATTTGAACCCAAGCAGTCTGAACCCAGATAAGAAGACCCACAGACAATTCAGAGACAGAGATACACAAAGACAGAGATAGATGGAGTCAGAGAGAGAGAAACAGAGCAGAGAGAGAAGCTGGGGGGTAGGAGAGGAGACGTGAATGAACTTGGGCAGAAAGGAAGAAGAGAAGCCAGGCTGGCAGGTGGGGGGGGCGCCCTGGCTCCTGCCCACCTCTCATCACAGTAGGTGAACTTCATGTCCAGGCTGTGGCGGCTGAGGAAGGCCCCCCGGCCCAACGGGGGCTCCAAGCTGCCAGGGTGGGGGATGGCTTCACAGATTAGCACCAGGCATTGCAGGGGGGGCTCCACGTTGGGGCTCCCGGCCAGGGAAAACTGTGCAGGGGGCTTGTAGGCCCTCATGTGTCCAGAACAGTGCAGTACCTGGTGGGCAGGGAGCGAGGCAATTATGCACCTGGGCCTAGGGCTACCCAAGGGGCTGGGAGGTATATCCCTGTAGGCCCCTCCCATCAGGGAGCTGAGAAGAAGAAACCCCTGAGGATTCTAGAGACCCAGCTCAGGGAGCTCTGAGGACCCCCAGACCCCAACCCCACAGAGACCCAACCTAAGAAGGTTCTGATAATCTCTAGATTCGTAAGACTCAGGGAGCTCTGAGGACCCCAGATTCCAACCCCATGGAGACTCCAGGCCCAGGATGCTGAGGACCCCCAGCCCCAGGCTCATAGAGACCCAGACTAAGAAAGGATACAAGGACCCCCAGATCCCCAACCTCCTAGGTACCCAGCCTGAGAATGCCCCACTGGATCCCTGGCCCAGGAGACTCCCAGACTCCAACCCACTGTGAGAACTTTAGGGCTCAGGTCCAGCCCCAGCAGGTCCCTTGCCCTCCTCCAGGCCAGGCCCTGCCCACCTTCCAGGTGGCCGCCTTGAGGTTGAGGGTGCGCCCGCGGCTGGTGAGGGTGCTCTTCATGCGCAAGGAGAAGCACCGCTCCGTGGGGGCCTCCGGCTTCTTTTTGGACAGGCCTGAGGAGGGCCGTGGTGGGGCGGGGGGGAGGAGTAGGTCACCGGGCAGCTTGGGACAGGGCCCAGTCCCTCCAGCACCCCAGTTACTAACCTCTCCCCAGCCTCATCCCCAAAATTGAGACTTCCGACCCAGAGAGGGTCTCCACGGGGTATGCTATGCTCCTTTAGATCCCCAGGGTGGAGCCATGTCCCTGTATTCCCCTGGGGCAGGGCCACATCATCCGCATCCCATTTTTCTCAGTCCAGTATTTCAGAGGGGGAGGAGATATGCTGAAGAAAGGATGGAGGGATTCCCTGGTGGCGCAGTGGTTGAGAGTCCGCCTGCCGATGCAGGGGACACGGGTTCGTGCCCCGGTCCGGGAAGATACCGCGTGCCGCAGAGCGGCTGGGCCCGTGAGCCATGGCCGCCGAGCCTGGGCGTCCGGAGCCTGTGCTCCGCAACGGGAGAGGCCACAACAGTGAGAGGCCCGCGTACCGCAAGAAAAAGAAAAAAAAAAAAGAAAGGATGGAGCCTCAGTTTCTGTAATTTGGGGGCAGAGATCTCCAAGGACTCACTCTGCCGGGGAGTCAGGGCGTCCTGAAGCTCCTCTTGGTCACAGGGATGGACAAAATCAAAGATACTGTGTCCGATCAGCTCAAGCTGGGAGGGAGGGAAGCAGGGGGTGTCTTAGAGAAAAAGCATTTTTACCAGGGCCTCTGACCCATCTCCTCCCTCCCATCCTCATCAGCCTGCCCTAATTCATGAGCCTGGATTATTTCCCCAGTCTCCTTATTCATTCATTCATTCATTCATTCCTTTCTTTGGCAAATAATTTGCTGGGCATTCTTCTACGTGGCATGGGCACAGCAGTGACTATGAAGACAAAATCCCGCCTCTCAGAGCTTACTGGCTAGTGGCGGGAGATAGCCAATGAACAAACAAAACAACACACATGCATAAAACAATATACTAAGTGATATGAAGAAAACTAAAGCAAGGTAAGATGATGAAATGATGGGACGCTATCTTAGAGGCAGTAGTCAGGGACAGTTCCTTGAAGAAGTGACATTTACACAAATTGCCGAACAAAGCCAGTGAGGTGGCTTTATGGAGTAGAGTGTTCCGGAAAGAGGGAACAGCAAGTGCAAAGGCCCTGAGGTGAGACCCTATTCAAATTCCATTTGTTGTGCAAGCCAAAGACCCAACTCCTTATTTCAATATAGGAAATGAGCCTGGTGCTGGGAGGAGGTGACACAGATGAAAGGGGACCCACAGAGCTCACAGTCCAGAGCTAATGCTGAATAGGGGAGGAGTGAGATCTTGTAGTTGGATTTGAATCTGAGCCCTGCCACTTCCGAGCTTTGGGATCTTGAGACATTCACCTATCTGAGCCCAAGAGCTCAAACTACAGAGAAATTGGTACCAAGAGTGGGATAACAAGGCAGGGGAAAGGAAGGGATGCCAACTGTGGAGCCCATTTATGTGAGCTAAGAAGAATGGTATTGCTGTAAGGATCAGCTGAAATTAGTTCTACTCTCTGAGTGTCTCTTGTTTGTCCTCCCATCCCCAGGCCCCTAATCCTACTTCTTTTCTCCCACTTGGGGTCCTGCATCCACTTCCTTATGGATTTTCCAGCCGCTAGTCTCACTCCCTCTAATTCTATCTGTGTGCAGTACCTAGAGGGATCTTTCTAAATAAAATGAAATTCTGATTCCACCTTTCTGACACAACCTCTCCCCTGCTTAATATCTTTCCATGGCTCCACAGTGCCCTAGAGATAAACCTTCTATTTTGGTCCTAAATTATGTCCTCTCTAGCCTTTTCTCTCTCACTTTCTCCCATTGCACTCTGCACCTAGCTTGGATTAATGTCTTTATTTCCCCGAATGCTGTTTTATCTCACATCTGTGTCTTTGCATATTCTGTTCCCTTGGCCATGTGCATTGCCAGTCTTCTCTGGTCCCATCCATTCGCCACACCCTTTGACTCGCTAAGCCCTTCAGGTTTTAACACAGATGTCTTCTCCTCCAGGAAGCCCTCAATTCCCACCCAGGCTGGGTCAGGTACCACCCTCCACCCCCAGCCTGTACAGCCCCCTAGGCTGCCCCACCCCAGCCCTGACCATTCTGAATCTTCCTGTCTGGTGACATATTTGTCTCCCCTCTGCACTGTGGGCCTTGTAAAAATAGGGCTAAGGTGGTTCTGGTCACCTCTGTATCCCAGCATCACCTGCACAAAGCAGGCAGCTCCTCTTACCTGACTGAGGCCCAGGTGTTTGCTGACATTCTCTGACAAGTAAGCCATGTCTCCCTCGGCGGTGAGCACCATAACGAAGCCCTCCAGGGCCTTCAGGTAGCAGGCATCCAGTGGTTCGCCCCCTGCTCCCACCTGGTTCCACTCCCCTGGTGTCCGGACCAGGATGGATGGGGCATCTCTAGTCAGCGGTAAGGCCACCCTGGCTAGCCTCCCTCTGCTTTCCTTCACTCAAGAGGAACTTATAGGTACCTCCAGGTGAGTGGGGCACATCCCAGTGGCTTGGAGTCCAAGGAAGAGGGCAGGACCACCAAGGACTGGAATTCTAAGGGAGCAGAGCCTCCCAGGGGTACAGAATTCTAAGGAGATAGGGCTTTCCTAAGGGAACAGAACTCTAAGGAGGGCAGAATCTTAAGGGGATGAAATTTCCAGGGGTCAAAATTCTAAGAAGGGGCCTTAGAGGAGTCAGAATTCCAAGGGGGCCAAGCTTCCCAGGGGTTCAGAATTCTTGGAGCAGGACCTTCCAGATCGGCGGGATTCTAAAGAAGCAACAGAATTCTAAGGAGGCAGAATTCTAATCTAATGGGCAGAGTCTGCCAGAGGATGAGTCCACTTTCCCCATAATAAAAGCTTTTCAGGGTCCTGGGATTCCAAGGGTGTGTGTGTGTGTGTGTGTGTGTGTGTGTGTGTGTGTGTGTGTGTGTGTGTGTGTGTGTGTGTGTGTGAAGGCGTCCTACAAAGAATTCTAACGGGGAGGGGGGGAATTCAAGGGTATGGCTACTAAGGGAACAAGCAATAGAACTAGGGACCTGAGGAAGCGGGACTCTCTCAAGTAAATTAAATATTGGGCAGTGAAGCCTCCTGGGGATATTGATTATAAGGGAAGGAAGCCTAGCCGAGAAGATCTCCCAGGACACCAAATCCTAAGGGTCCAGATGCCTTAGGGAGTTAGCCGGCCTCCTATTCCCTAGGGTTCTAACTCTAAGGAGGCAGAGCTTCCCAAGGGCGCATTCCAACGGGCGGGGCCTCACAAATGATAGACTTCTAAGGGGGCGGGGATTCCTAAGAAACTGGGTTCCGATTGGCCCAGAACTTTAAGGGGCGGGGCCTCTCCCACTAAGTGGATTCCAGAGGGGTGGGGCTTCGCCGGGAAGACATAGGGGGCGGGGTCTTGTAGAGATGAGGAGGGGCTTCCCTGGGATGTACCTTTCCGAGGGCGGGGTCTTGCTGAGGTGGGAATTCCCGGGGGCGGGCCTCACCTGCGGCGCAGAGTTGGTGCATGCGCAGGTAGCTGATGGTGAGGCGCATGATGGAGGCCTTGTCCAGGTGGGCGCTCACCCCGCGCGCGAAGGGCAGCGTGTGCGCCAGCTGGTACAGCACCTCGGTCTCCTGGCTGCGCCGGCTGCGGGCCGCATCCCGGGACTTCTCCTTGCGCAGCTCCGTGCTCGACCTGCGGGCATGGGCAGCGTTCACTGGCGGCGCCCCGGGAAGGGGAAG